TAACACTCGTACTTGATAAACTGCTCACAGTGTGAAGAGACTCTGGTGAGACTTGCCAGCTGAGATAGACTCGCTCCTGTGTAATGAATGTCACGTGAGTAACACCCCGCCTTTTCACATCCATAGACATGTGTTCTACTCTCACTGTCGTGACTAATGACTGTCACACCAACTCCACTTTTATCGGTCATGTCACAGAACACCGTGAATGGTGCCAGACCTCCCTCGCCATCAGGATGAATGACGTAATTTCCGCTTACACTGCTGACGTATTTTTTAATCACAGAACAGGAAGTAGCTTTCACTGGAGAATTCATTTTAACTTTAGCTTCTATTGTTGCCAGGGCATTACTCGCTCGACAGATATATGATCCTTTTTGAGTTTTCTTGATGTTCTCAATAACTAGAGTGCCGCTTTGAAGAACATGTGTGTTTGCTGGGAGTACACCAACACCATTCTTTAACCAAGCAATTGTAGTACTCAGCTCACTCTCGGCCACACATGGCAGACGGAGAGTGGAACCAGTGTAAGGAGTCACTTGTTGTGGAGGACGGACTTTGAACCGCAAAGGAGAGTATACAATAAGCTGAGCAGTGTCTGTTACCGAACCCAGAATATTCTGTGCTTTACAAATGTATATTCCACCATCTTTTCTTGTGACTTTGAAGATTTTTAGGGTTCCATCTTGCACAAGGATTCTGCCTACAGGTACACTTCCACCTGCCTTGGACCATGTGATCTTAGGTGGCGGCTGACCAGTAACAATGCAGGAGATGGTTACTTTTTGATTCTCTTCAACCCTCACTCGATTGGATGACAATGAAAGTTGCGGACCAACTGGAAAAAAAAGAGAGAATAAAACTTGTCTAATTGACAGTCTAACTTAGGAGTGTTAGAAAATAAAAGGAAAGTGATCGTCAACTGAAAAGAATCAGCCCATTTGAAAAATAAGTTGATTGGAACTTCATAAAATCTCAAGTAAGCTTTTTATGAAATAACTTGTTCTTTAGTGGATTTTATTGTTTACATCGCACCTGAACGAATTAAGTTGAACGCGGTATACATCTGTTGCTGCAATAACTAAACAAAGCGTTGCTATTAATTCCTTTCAGAATGTTATGCCCAATTATAGTGTACTTACACTGTACAGTGAGTTTCGCTGAAGCGTCCACACTTCCCAGTAGATTTTTAGCTTTGCAGCTGTAGACTCCCTCATCCCCAGGCCGTACGTACTTCAAAATTAGAGCACCACTGGCCTCTACCATGTGGCGTCCCACAGGTAGCTGCGAATTCAGCTTAGACCATGTGACTTGCGGAGTTGGGTAACCATCTGCTGAACATTTCAAGATGGCCGTCTGACTTTGATTGACAGTTGTTTTAACAGGACTCTGCAGTAGAGAAGGAGCCGTGATGGACTGGCCCTGCTCACCCTTGGTTCCCTTTTGACCTGGTGGGCCCCTAGGACCCATAGGACCAGGATTTCCCGGTACTCCGATATCGCCTTTTACACCTACGGGTCCAGCTGGTCCTCGGGGACCCGTGGGACCCGGATTCCCCGGTACTCCGAGATCGCCTTTTAGACCTACGGGTCCCGTTGGTCCTTGGGGACCCAGGGGACCAGGATTTCCCGGTACTCCGAGATCGCCTTTTACACCTACGGGGCCAGCTGGTCCTCGGGGACCCGTGGGACCCGGACTCCCCGGTACTCCGAGATCGCCTTTTACACCTACGGGTCCTGTTGGTCCTTGGGGACCCATGGGACCAGGGTCCCCCGGTACGCCGAGATCCCCTTTTACACCTACCGGTCCTGTTGGTCCTTGGGGACCCATGGGACCAGGGTCCCCTGGTACTCCGAAATCCCCCTTCATACCTACAGGTCCTGGTGGTCCTTCTGACCCAGGTTTCCCTGGGGGACCTCGTCTCCCACGGGTTCCAGGTCTTCCCCGTTTTCCTGCATTACCTTTCGGTCCTGAGCGGCAAAGCGTTTCGTTTTTAGCACAGAAGCTGTTTTGCAGCAGACGAAACTCTTCTCTGATCAGACGTTTTATTTGTGAATCGAAGGATGAATCTCGCTTCTGCCTTGAATCGAAGTTTTTATACAGGCCAAGACCTTTCAAATAAATAAATAAAAACATTTCTGAGCACAACACACTGGAGGGAATAGACTCCTCGAAAACTCATTTTCTCATTTCTTTACCAAATTTGTCCTGCCGTAAACAATTGAACATCATGGACGTCATCTGGATTGCTTAATTTATTTATATATATAATTACGAAATGCTCTCTATCAAAGGAAGGAAACCTAAACTAAACACCCAATCTGACTTTATCAAAGCAAAACTATTTACCTGGTAATTAGCACCTTTTACATTTCATTTTGTATTTTTCTCTCAACGCAATCATATGCAACTAAGCTTTCGCACTCTCAATATATAATGAACTCACGGAATCAAGAACTACGCGAATTTGAAAATGATGGCATGGAGTCAAACGAGTCAACGTCATTCATTGCTATTGCTAATTTTTATTCTCATTGTTCTAAAACCTCCGTTATTAGAATCTTCAAAAAAAATAAAAGAAAATGAAAGAAAATAACGAAAACTAAACAACAACAACAACAACAACAAAAGCACATACTCATAGGCAGTACTTTTTTATGAGGAAAAGTCTAGTTTTGCACTCAAAGTTTAGCTGAAGTTAGACTGCAAAACAGTCGGCTTTTTTCTCAAAATCTTTAAAGAAATCGGTAAAGCGTGCCGTAAGAGTCTTACGCGCGCCAAGCGCACGAGCCTCACACGCCCGTAGGGGTTCCCGTTGGGCGTGTGAGGCGAGAGAAAAAAAAAACCCAGTCTCGTTCTCTGTTTTCAGCCACGTTCCAGACCTTTTGTTTGACTGCTCGCGCGTACTTGAATACGCAAAAATACGGACTTTTTTGCAGTCTAAGTTGAAGTCCCATCATCGTTCAACGTGTTTAGCCCCAGCGTGATGGTAAAAGGTAAAAGTAAAAATGAGAAATTTGCATCGTAGAAATAACCAAACGGACAGTATTAATTATTGCACTGAATAGCGGATTTATAATAAATCTCATATCATCCGGCTCATCAGGGGCCAGACATCTTACCTTTTAAGCTTTCAGCTTTCGTTGCTTGCTTTCTCTCATAATTCTGCTGAACTTTCCGTAGAATCTGCGTTTCCATTTGATCACAGACTGTTACTGAGTGTGACATCAGTCGATGATGTTCTTGTACTCGGAGTTCCACGTGAATTAGTGCCATACAACACACAACAGACAACAGCAAAGCTGACACGGAACACAAGCTGTGGAGTGTTTTTCTTCTGCTCTTCTTCTTGTCTTCCTCTCTTTTCATTTTTAAATCAGTTTTGAGAGCTAAATGAGCGGGGTATGGCGTGAAGCGATAACCTCTCTGGCAAAGAAATCTCAGCCTTTCGTTTGGCAGGAGCTACAGCGTGAACTGAAACGTGTCAGAATTCCGCCCTCAGGAAAAAAAGGAAGCAACCTAGACGGTTGTAAATGATACATATATTTTTTGACTGGGTGCGAGGTCAAGTTGATGGCTGGATATCGGCCAAGCTAGTTTCTTTTGTCATTGCGCTTTTATGTATATGGGCCCAGACAATAATAAATCCTGGTCAATGAAGGGATTTATTATATGGCAACCATTTACAATTCCAGTTTTCATTGTAATCGAATTCAGATTTGCGAAACTCGTCTTAATTTTTATTGTCTCTACTGCCTTCAAGATTTACAGACGCTCAGTACTGAGTATATGTTCTACTTGGGGCTCTGTTGCTGAAGACAGTGCCGGAAATCGCCCTCTTTCCGCAACAACAAAGAGTTCAACGAATTACTTAGCTGTCTTCAGTGGAAGTATTTTTTTCCTTTGTGGGGGAACCGAGTGGATCGGAATATGAAAGGCCTATGCATCAAGGTAACCAATAAGAAAACAGGATTCTTTTTCATGTTGCTAAATGGAGGAACGAGACGAAATAATCCCTTTGAAGAACCGAAATGGATACACCAAAATTAATGACCGAAAATAAATCAAAATAGTTTTTAATCGGCACTGTCTAAAAATAGCAAAAGTACAACAAGATATTATCTCAATTTGATAATGGGCCAGGTTTTCCCTTTATTTGCGCGTTTGGACGGTCAGATGTTTAACAATACAAAGTCCACATATCTTTTCTAGAAGAATATTTGGAAACAGTAATACAAAGTATTTTCTAAGTATAAAGTGAACACTTCCCGCGGTAGTAACAGTGTATTCCCTTGGTCATTTCAGCGTTCATTTCGTCTGCTCAAAACAACATGGAAAAGTCATTAACAACAAGTAGAACCATGGTTCTTTGAATTACGGTGAATCTCCTTCCAAAAGGGAGAGTTCTTTTGGTTTGTTTTCTTCTCAAAAGCTTTACTGGAATATAAAAGATCTGTGGATAAAAGAAAAACAATGATGTGAGTCTATTTAAGACATGAGTGATATGTTTTTTGTTGGAGATGGTTATAAACACTCGTTTTGAAGTTATGCCAGAAGAAGTTTATCAATAGCTAGAACAGAACGCTGCAATAAGGTTGGACTTTTTCAAACAGCTTAAAAGCGTACCCTGTCAACTTTCAAAGAGCTAAACGTTTCTTTGTTAATCTTCAGCTTGTGTTGTGACCCTCTTAAATTTTTCACTCGTGAAAAATGTCAGTCAGTGAACAATACTCCATGGCGATTCAAGTACAATAGTAACGTTTCTTCGGCCAGAATTCCGTATAATTGACAAAGAGAATCTTTATATGTTCATATTGTTCTGTAACCATGGTAACCCTACCTACCCACTAAGATTTGTGTTCGGTCAGCGGTAACCTGCCGCGACTCCTCCTTTGCGATAGTCAGCTAGTGCCAGTAGCTCTCCGTTGTCCTCTCGAACAACAAGCTGAACAACGCCCATTATTTGTAGCGGTGTTCCTAAATGCGATAGAGATCGTAAGTGTTTTCCAAAATAAAGTTACAATTAAAGGACACCGAACCGTGGTTTGAGTTGTTATACTCAATTTATCATTACTTTTTTAGCCAGTTATAAGCTGCAAAGAATGAGATATCATAGAAGTTTTCCTTTGGAGGTCTTTAGAGACACAACGTCTCCAAGCAAGAGCCACTCCCTTAAACGTAAAAAATTCAATAATCTGGGATGACGTAAGGCGAATGCAAGTTAAAAAAAGTATAATAGACTAAAAAAGTTCCTTACCTTAAAATAAGCAACTTTCAGAGCTTAAATTCGGATTTAGACCAACCGCGCAGTGCTTTTTTGTCTGATCCTTACCCTTTTTGTCTCTTCTGTGGGGAACCCTTAATGTTATAAAAGCCCCGTGGTTTCATAAAGGTTTCCTTACCACTATTTGTTACATTGAATCTATTTTAGCTATTTTATTTGCATAGTGTAGTAAATTACGTGATTGCCAAAATCCTACCTGGAATCCACCAGAAAAGTCTTTTAAGACTTTTAACTTCTAAAAAAGCTAAAAGCACTCGTGAAATTGGCTCACAAGAGTGTAAGTGCACAAAAAAAGTCTAAAGTATGCAAAAGGTAGGCAAAGGAATTATTTACCGGTAAATAACGTGGTATCATTTGTGATGCGCTTGTGTCCATATTTCCTCAGTCCCCTGATGATATCTTGAGGGAAATTTGGTTCGACTAATACCATATTAGGGAAAAGCTGACTGTGTAGGCGTGGTTTCGATACCGCGTCCTTCAGACTGTCTCCAAACCAATAATAATTCATCAAAACCTGCAATTTAATAGAGTATCCAAAATGGCTATATTAGCAAAAAAAATAAAATTAGTCTTAAAGACAGTGAAATTCGTGACTCACTTTTAGTTTATACGCTCCTCAAACATGTTATACGTGGTTAAACTTTGATGATTAAATAACTGTTGCGGCTTAAATTACATCCACTTTTCGCAGACTATATTGCTCAAACATTCACGGACAGTGTCAAAAACGGCGTGCAGATGCCATTGTGACTGCGTGTTTAAACTTCGTTAATCTCGTTCTGAATACATGAAAAGAGTCTATGCCTACAGTGATGTAAATACTTCGCAATAACCTTCAAAGGGTAAACTGAGAGATCACTCAAATACATTGATATTTTTGTCACATAACAAGCTTTTCTTTTATTCAGATATCGCATACGTTTTCCCCGTTGGCCATTTAAGAACTCCGGTTTTGCTCCGCGGTTTAACCTTCTGCCCGGCCACAATGATTAAACTATCCCACAAATTTCCTGACATGTAAGCAGACTTGCTACTGATTTCTGGCAATTTTAATTTTAAGTCCTTGCTCATGTGACTTGGGAGAAAGGTGTTTTCAGACATTGATAGATGTGTTTATGTACCTGCGCCAAAGCTGTGGCGATGTATTTTCCTCCGGCCGCACCAATCACCATTCTTACATTTCCTTTTTCATCTACGATGATGGATGGCGAAGCAAGAGACATGGGTCTCTTCCGAGGCTTCATAGTATCTGGTTCCAGATGAAATTCATTTACCCACAAATTAACCGCATCCCAGAGTTGGTCATTGTAAACAATCCCTAGTTTCGTACTTCTTATTTTAGCACCGAAACTGCAAGAAAAAGTGAGAAATAAAAAGAATGTCAGCGCAGAAAGTAGTAGCTGCCACATATAAAAAACATGGGGAGTGTTTGAGATAACTGGGACAACGTTGTTGTCAAATTTCCGTTACAAGGACTTGATGGGCCCTAGAATACCACAGGCAGCCCTGGCTCTGTGGGCTGCCCCGAACTCCCACAGAGCCTTGGCCGCCTGTGAGAATACCAACAAGTTTGGTTTAAAACATGCATTTTTTTGGTTTAAATCTGATGTTGAAAGGAATAGAATGGAACTAAACCGTTATTCTTCTTTTTCTTCTTCTTCTTCTTATCATTATTGCGGGCGACCAGGGGAGCCCGCAATCCTAATCTCAAGGTTGTTATTACGCATGCGTCGCATGTATGTAGCCAGTATTCGTTTGGACTCCCACTAAGAATGAATGAAATGCACAGAACGCTATTTGATCACGCGTGTTTTGACCATCCGATGATCACGTGAAACTTGCGCAAAGCACAGCAGCGCGCGTTGGGGCAAAAGCGTTTTGACCTTCTTTCATTGTCGCCCTCTCTCCGTAACATTTGCTTATTACTACTTTATTAATTTGTAATTACTATTTGTTTATTGATGTTGTCAAGGAAACAGCGTTCCCTTCTTTATCCAGGACGGACAAGTGAGTAGTGCCATCTGTGACGTCAATGTGATAGTTTATCGGGCCGTAGTAGTCGTAGTCATCTGAGTGAGATTTATCGTCAATAAGTTGGCGAATCTTCTCTCCCTTTTCAGGATTAACCATCTCCGCAACGACCTGAATTTGAGCAGAAATAATCATATCGGAATCACATTCACAATCACAATCACAATCACAATCGCAATCGCCATCACTATCACGATCACGACCACAATTACAATCACGATTACGATGACTTCCAAGATCGCGATCACATTCACGATCACAATCACGGTCACGATTACGATCATGATCACGATCGCGATCTCGCGATCACGATCACAATCACAATCACAATCACAATCATTTTCACAATCATAACCATAATTACAGAGTATTTAACAATGTAGTTAGATCAGTTTCCCAATTACTTCTTTGTTTCAGCAACAAAAAAAATCATTCTGGTGGAAATGAATTTCCCCCAACCTCAAAAATGACTAAAGACTGCACTCTCTTACAGAAATAACTAAGCGGCAGGGTTAGCTCAGTCGGTAGAGCGCTTGACTACAGAGCGGGAGGTCACGGGTTCGATTGCTGGGGTCGGACCAATTCTCAGGGTCTTAAAATAACTGAGAAATGAAGGTACTACTGTCTTCGCCATGCAAGCGGCTGGACCTTCGCGTGGCTCGGTTAACCACATAAAATAGCGGTCCCGTCTCCAGTTGGGGACCTAAGAATGGTGTCCTTAACTAGTACTGTAGTGCTAAATACATTAACACCGAAAAAGAGCATTTTTTTTTTATTGCCTTCCACGCACCAAGAATGTACGCAGAATTGTAGATAGTCTACCGAGGATTCTTATTGGCCGATATGCTAAACATGATGGTCTTGCGTCATTCTGTGAGCCAAAATCTGCAGTCTCTCCCTTCATCACATCTTGCGTTATAAATGGAACTCAAAGGCTTGATAGCAGGAAATTGCGAGGTCCAAATCCTGTTTTCTTAGCTTTTTTGTGTCCAGTTCCAATGTATCACGGTTCGCCCTATATATGGTAATTCAAGACAGGCTTGGATTCTGGATTCTACGCCTTGGATTCCGAATTTCAATCGTTCGCGAGATTTTGGAGGATTCTTTGAGCTGAATTGTGCATTCCAAAACCAAAATTACATTTGGTGACCTGGATGATTGGCATCAAAACCGACTTTTTTTCAGGCTTCTTTACGCAATTGCATAACTAGCGTTCACTGCGACGATCATTTCTTCATTTTCATTTCATTTCCGCAGTTCATATTTGATTCATTTCATATATCATTAACACTCATTTCTTTCACGGGAACATATAAACCCACAATTGACCTGCTCCCAACGTCAGTGGCTTCATAGCTCAGTTGGTAGAGTATCGCACCGGTAATAACCTCAAAAAAACCTCAAAATATTTATTTGTACGGGAAAAGTACACTTACGTACTTATATTGTATTTTCATTATTGTCTAAACTGTTGAGAGCGACTTTCATATTTGACAACCTGCCAACTCGTCTAGGCGGCGTGGGCAGCTGATAGGATCAGAATGGGTTAGTTAAGTTTACCTAGCTGATTGACAAATTTGTAAATAAATGATGTAGTGGTAATCGCGAGGTCACGGGTTCAAACCCCTTTAAGTCCGGAAATTTTCTTTTTCAGGCTTCTTTACGCAATTGCATAAATTGCGTTCACTACGACGATCATTTCTTCATTTTCATTTCATTTCCGCAGTTCATATATGATTTACTCTGTATTTCATATATCATTAACAAAACTGATCCAGTTACTCACAATCTCATTTTCTTGTTTAAAAGAGGCAAAACCTAGTTTTTACTTTATTGTTTAAGGCCCTCTTATTCACATAGACTATAGAGTGTTTTCACATGACGTCACGGCGGCCATATTGGTGTCCCACAACAATAAAACGGCGGCCATGTTGGTGTACCAAGACAATTCTGTGGGATTTGAACTTTTCTTATGCAAACGCTTTCTATTGTTCCAATACATTTGCATAGATGCTGGCCACGTGAGTGAAAACGCTCTACAACGATCTTGTTTTGCCCCCAAAATTTTGCATAACCATTGTTTCCAATCAGGTTCCTCCTGGGTATTACAGTCGTCACAAGGGAAATCGAAGACAATGGTTATGCAAAATGTTGAGGGGTAAACAACGTGCATTATGGTATATGTGAAAATAGAGAATTAGAACTGTTTGATTTCAAATGATCAGTTGATCTTTTACCTGATCCGTCTTGTCGCTGAATAGTGGATCAGTGAGGTAAGTTTCCTTTGCAGCTGCAAAATTGAATGCTTCAATCATGCGGTGGTACGTTAGTTCAGGCCGTTCTTTAATGTCCTCTGGACCAAATTTGAACCCTGTTAATGAACGCAAATAATAGACGATTCAGCGTACAGTCATTTCTACCGCTCAATCCAAAAATTTTTCTTATCGTGACGTCGTTATTTGCTGTCGCGCTGGCTGCGATAAGAACTAGACAGATTTTTACTTGAATAGCAAAGCCAGACTGCAAGCAGTCTAGGGTAACATAAGACAATTCTATTACCCGCCTTTGTCAAAGGAATTGCTAACAGCTTGCCAAGGCCAGCTAAATAATACGGTAAAAAGGACAGAAGATAGCTGGGTTGTAATTGTTTTTAATTGCTGCAATTGTCTGTGATTTGTAAAAGGAATCGCTTAATCTTGTACTCAATTCAAACTGGGGAGCACTAAAGCATATCCTAAACGTACCAAAAAATAGATTAGACTTAAGGCTTTTCCTCCCCAAAATGGAACATTCTGACGACAGGCGGGAGTAAAAATCTCATTTTACAGTACTAAATCCTTATCCCTGTTTACCGTTTAAAGTTTTTCTTCAATCTGAAAACCTTAAATCCTAATTTTGTACTAATTCAAGGCCCTCCAAATGCCAAGCAGATAAAATGCAAACATTTTGCACTTAGCATTTTGCACTTTTCGTGGCAATGGCCAGCTCAGGCTGAGGCAAAGGTACTTTGCTCCCTGCATACATTTTATTCATTTTACTTTAATTTGTAGTCCCTTGTTTTTTCTTTGTTGTACATATTGCAATATATATTATTTAGGCTATTAAATTTTTAATTTTAAGCAATAGACCACACTTTCTACGAGTTTACCGGCGTGATAACCTACGGGGATATTCGATGTTGGGAGAACACGAGAAAAGCATGAAAATCACGAGACGAAGGCGACAAGCTTTTCGTGTGTAAACCCATAGAAAGTGTCAGGGGCACCCAACGACAATTTTCGGAAAATTATCTGTTCGGAAGACGATTTGAGATCTAGAATTTTCGGATCATTTTCTGTAAAATTTCTTGCTTGCCTGCTTCTCCTAGGATTTTCGAACATCAAAAAAATGGTATAATTGCCCATTTTTAACGGATTTTTACCCTAAAAAGGTCACCTAGAATTTTCGGGAGCCTTTTTTCTGGCTGAAATTTTCGGAAAAGTAGATTTTGATCCCTATAATTTTCGGATCACTATACTTTCAGCTAGGTAATCCGAACAGATGAAAAATTTTTAGGGGATAAAAATAAGCCTTTATCTACTGTTTAAATACTAAAGTACGTTCAACAATGCTATGTTTATGTGGTTTTGAACTATATTCTCGTTGGGTGCCCCTGAAGTGTGGTCTATTGCTTTTATAAAATAACTTTAAGTAAAACTATGAGTTTACCGGCACAATAAGCCAAAGGTTTTAAGGCAATCAGAACGCGCGTACTATCTTTGTTATTTTATAAATGTGAATATTGCAACAATAATAGAAGCTGAAACTGAAAATCCACCAGCGCATTGAAAAAGATGAAAACATACCTTTAAGAATGTTCAAAATGTTTAGTAATGCCACTCCACCTGCCGGGGGTGGGACGGTATAAACTTTGAATCCTTTCACCCCTGGAAGGTCAGACTCCACTGCCTTGACTTCTCTCGCTCTGTAATTTTTCATGTCTTCTAAGGATATCGTCGAACCAACGGATTTAAGGTCCTTGACCACCTGCATAATCCATAAATTCGTTAGGTCTTAATAAAGAATATATTCGTGCGTTCTTTCCTTTGAGAGTATTTTCGCGGCAAGGAGGAGTACTGTATGGAACAGGCAAGCCGTGCAGCCACACGACTTGACACGAAGTGTTTGTAAGATACAGAAAATCAGGGGCGTCCCTATCAACAAGACAATTCTGTAACGACTTTCTTGCTCTGTGGAATTGTAGGCAATGCTTTCTAGTCGCGTAAAAAGAATTTTGCTGGTGAATGATGGTTTGAATTGCGAGTCAAGTCCCTTTTTCGTACTCGTCATACCGAGGGTCATACCGAGGGTTAAAAGGTAACAACATGCTGTAAGATTGTATAAACCCACCTGAAACATCTTCTAGTTGTACGCGATCGAAGCACTTTCCTGCGTGCGAATGCCCGCTGCATGGGGAGAAGGGTTTCCTTTCCTCCCCCTCGCCCGCTAAAAATTCAGTCCCCGCTTCCCATTCCTTTCGAATGCCTGCCTAGTCTCCCTCGCAGGCGGTCTTAGGGTTTCGTCGGGCGTTCCTTTCTCACGGGCGTTCGTGGAGAACGAAAGCGCGACAAAACCCAAACGCCTGCCACGAAGGCTATCAAGGCTTTTACTAGGATAAAAAGAGTGATAATAGCTTATAACTTGCCTTTGGAGTTAATCTCGTACCCAGATCTCTTGTCGGCGAGGCCGAAAACTGGCCTGGGTACCAGATTCCTTCGGAGAAGGTTACTTATCTGGGTTTAAGCCGCAAGCGACTGTGTAAATTGTAACTTACAAAACTTAGAACGCTGCGCGAACCTGCGCGCGTATTACAAGAAGACCAACACAAAGGCTTTAACGGTATTCTTGTGCCTATAAACTGTAAGAGGGGAAAAAGCTGGTGTTATCATAAATTCTTACCTGCTTTGCCATTTTTCCAGTATAGAAAAGATCAGCGCCATGCTTGGCAATCTTCTCCAGAGTTTTTGCATATTTTGTTCGTTTTATTAGGTCGCCCATCTTTATCCATTTACCATTTGGCCTAAATAACTCGCTAAAAAGGAGAAAGAAGGCGATTCAATGCCAGAAGACTTAATAAATAGAAACAATAAAAAGAAACACTAATAATAACAAATAAATAAAAACAAGACAAATACGAGCTTGAAATAGACCAAAGGGGAATAGCGCGAACGGGACACGTGACCTATGCGGAGCGCCATCCCATGCTAAGCAAAATCTAAAAAAAACGCGGAGGTCACTGGTTCGACTCCCGTTGAAGCCCCGGTTTTATTTCAGGCTTCTTCTTTCCTATTGCTTAAATTGGAAAATTTACTGCGATTATCATTCTCCACTTTCATCTACAAAAGCAGTTCAAAAATGAATTATTTCATATATACTTCACATCAAAAAAAATTCTCTTAACGCGGTAGCTAAAATGTAATAGTTAAACGGTGAAATCTAATGAAAAAAAGGAAAATACAGTAATTAAGGTGTAAATTATAAGCGGTGGCACGGGCAATTTCGATAGAGGCCTCATGCAGTCTTCGGTGTGACTGTTAACACTTTACACTTAGAGGCGTTAAACTTCATGTTTGACCCATAGCTCTAGGTGTTTAAGCTTGCCTGGTCCCGCTAGAGAATATCACAATGCTTTACTGACACAGTAGTTTCATGAATCGTTCAATATTCTTGAAATTTACTGTGCGTGCGTCATAATTAGAAGTTTTCTCGTGTTTCAATTGCAAAATTCTCATCTGTAGTCACAAGAAAGTTTAATTTTTATGCATGTACATTTTTAATTAATATAATGGTACTTTTAAGAAAATTTCGTTTAACAAAACAATCAATAAAGGTCTAACAACAGAAAACCAAATGAGTAAATAGAAGACAATAGCTATCACAGTTCAATCCATTTCTGAGATGCTCGACAAAGAATTATTTAACGTAACGTGGAGGAAGCTTTCCATAAGTTAAAACTGGCCGTTCAAACTACTCATTTTGAAAATGAAATGTAAGATGGCCTTTTCGTGAATATTATCTAAAACCTATCACTGCTGTACGCACCATTTGGGTTAAGACTGATCTAGTTGGGTTAGTCCGGGTTTATATATAATGGCAAGTCTCTTTACAACCAGGCTAGTTCTGGCGGCTTAGATGCCTGGACGGGTGATGTATGGTCAAACTAATGTATATCTCACTCACCTAAGGCCAGGATCATTTGATACATTGGCCGCATTCTTTTCCACAGCGGAAATAATTGTGTGCGTGGCTTTGAAACCCTCAGAGGCAATCTTGATAGCAGGATCAAACAGATCTTTCCAGGGCATGCTGCCATATTTTTTCCAGGCTAATTCAAAACCTCTTAGCTCGCCAGGAACGCCTATAAATTCTCCTTCCCCTGGGACACGGGTCTTCGTTTCTGAAAATTTTATACAGGATGATGCCTTAGCTCTGAGTCCCTCTTACAAGTAATGACCGAGAGCGTAGCTTGAGGTCATTGTTGTTAAGATGGCCGAAAAGCAAACACCTCTCAGCAGATGACAACTGCTATTTAAAGAAAGCCTGCTTCAATAACCATCTCTTTATAAGCTGAGCGAGGAGCAGGCGAATGTTATGAAGACGAGAATTTTACATACTAGATCAAGGTAAGTCGGAAATATTTTGAACGAATAGTAAAACAATTATTGGATTCGGCTTTCGAATTCAATGAGGAATTATGCAGATCTCTTAGAGCGTTTCCGCTCTTATATCATACTCAGGCTATATATACGTTCACACTTTACCGGACAGCTGTTCGTGCTGACACGATAAGCTAGCTATCTCACGGTATTAGTATAATCAGCAACGGCACAGAACTGGAACAAGTCGTTCACACACATCGAACATCGTGCCGGAGTAGTTGGCCGAGAGGGCTTGGTGCTCTTAATCCCAGTCCTCGCTCCTGGGCCTTTTTCCTTAAAAGATGATTAAGTTTAACTCAGAATTAAGCCAAATTTTGAGCAAGGTTTTCTTGTCTAAGAACATGCAATTCAAGTTTACAAATACTGTTGAGCCTCTTCTACGAGATACAGTTATGATAACACAAAATGTTACTCTATGCAGTACATAGGGAGGCAAAATACAAAACAGAACAAACTTTTAACCATAGATTAGCGCTAACCGACCTTTCAGGAACACTGAATATTTACTTCCTTCTTAGTGGATTCCAGTCCTTACTCCTACTTGTTCACTCTCGCTGCGGTCCGAACGGGTCCGCCAATGTCGTGAGTTATTTGCCGTGAGTTATCACGGTGAGTTAATTACTGGTAAGTTACAAAATTTTAAAATTTCAGTATTTTCATGCTTTGCGCCGTCATAGAAATCACGTTACAATCACTATACTTATGTGTAAACGGAAGCCCTATGCGGTATAGTTTTAGTGAGAACATAGCCCGGCAGCCTCATCCAGTATTTGCTAATTATTTTTAATTACCTCTTGATTTCCACTGGAACATGAGGTGCTGGAACTCCTTCATGGAATCCGCCTTTTCATGCTGAGCCACGGTTTCTCTGAAGTTGATCGCCGTGGTCTCACCTATGATTTTTATGTTTTCATAAAAAATGAATATCAGAAGGAAATATCCATGCACGATTTAAGTGTTTTCAGCTTGTAAACTTTTTGTAAGTGACATTTTCATGAGAAACAGCTTGTGTTGCCCAAGACTTTTAGAAAGTCGTTGTCGCCAAAATAGATTGTATAACTTAAAAACATTTTTTTCAAAAAAATTAACTTTGAATAACCTTGTCCCCTTGTCGCTTTTTTGACAGAATTCGCCACTCGCATATTTCCCACAATACAATTTGCCCCCCAAAAGTTTGCATAAGCATTAGAGAGATTAAGATTCACGTTTACGCCAAACGGCAAACGTGAATTTGTACCACGTGACCAAGTTTTCCCCTTGTTTTTCGTTTACTGTTTATTGCTTCTACACTAAAATAAGTAGTTTTATGACAGTTTTGTCCACAAGAATCGTTCTGGACTGTTTTTATCTGCTTATTTTCTATTCTGAGAAATTTTCAACTGACGTTTGCCGTTTGCCGTATGCCGTAAACGTGAATCTTAATCTCTCTATTGTTTTCAATTTCTCTTGGGACGGCTGTAATACCCAGGAGAAATGAAAAAATCCAAGGTTGTGCCAAATTTTGGGGAACAAATAAGGTGCATTATGGGAGATTTGTAAGCTGGCGAAATAAAATCCAAGATGGCGGAAATTTCCAATCATGGCGTCACCGGGTCACGTGAATAGCGTTAGCTACATATACTTTAAAAGAATGCCATGCCCTTTATTTGAGTTTTAATTTATTTAGCACGTACGTAGTAATTGGGAGCATTTTTACGTCTCTAGCTGGAGACGGGAGACACACAAAGGTATCGACGCCTAGTGTAAAGGAGTACCTTTGTTTCTCAGTTATTTGAAGACTCTGAGTATTGGTCTGGGACCCGTTTCCCGAAAGTCCCGTTAACTTTTCGGGCCCGAAATCAAATTTCAAATCGAAATATAAAGAATAAGAGCGCGGGTCCTGGCTAGCAAACAATTCCATGTACGTTGTTTCATTAACTGATAGTTTTATCATGTTAGATGCAAAACTATTGAATCCTCTATCTTGCTTGTAAACCAAAACAGCTTTACGGGCCCGTTAATTATCGGGACTTTCGAGAAACGAGCCCCTGGCCACGGGAATCGAACCCTCGACCTCTTGCGCTGCAGTCAAGCGCTATACCGTGTATACTAGTCTTTTATGACAACGATTTGGATCGACCTTTTATGAATTGCGTTGGAAACATACCAGTTGTCTTGTTATAAATGATCATGAATCCTCCACCGCCGATGCCTGCTGAGTGAGTGTTCACCACGCCAACGCACAAGGCAGTGGCAATTGCGGCATCAACCGCGTTACCGCCTTTCTCTTTTAAAATGTTAGCGCCGTCTTCTGAACACGTCTTGTAGTCTGCCGCAACAGCTGCGGTTTTGAACCTAAGAGGATCTGATGGTGCTCCTGCTGGCTCACTGCAAAGTGAAAAAAGACATGCATATAATTTAACTGTCGTTCTTCTATGGCTGATTATCTCTCGAGTATAAGGATTTTGATTTTTACAGCGTTGTTTGATACAGAATGTTTGCTAGCAAAGATCCAGTTTCAATATTTTGATAGGTAACGACAATAAAAAGTCCTGTCAAGATTTAAAGTTGGACCGCTAGAATCTATGCCTAGTCGTCAGAAATAATAGCACGCCCTTGAAGTCCTTGAGCTCTGATCAGTTTTCATAAGGATATGAGAAAATCCCGGCGCGAAATGCCACTTGAGTGAACTGATATTGTAATGGTTGTGGATAAATAGTCTTCCAACTAAAAATTTGGCTGTAGGACCGAAATCGTTATTCACTGGAGAATTACATTTACAATTACATTTAAGATTTAGGTCTGTCACTCAATTCTGAGCATTTTAGACCACTCTAAAAAAAAGGAAAAACACAAACACAAACAAAAGTTACTGAAATGGCGCTTAACAGGTCAGCATAGAAAACGTTCTGTCAAAATTCGAAATTGGACCCCTAGTCGATAGACTACGACAACTGAAAGCACTACATACGAAAATCGACCTCTTTCTTTCAATTAAGGCTTTTCGACTCTATACCGGCATTTGGAATTAGCAAAACCAGTAAGAAAGTTATTCATGTGGATGGGGTAAAATTCCAGGAAACACTTGGACTACGTATTGGTTAATTCCAAGTTTCAGTTTGGATATCCGAGCGTGATCGCAGCGGCAAATCACAACTTTTATTTCGAGCATTTTTAGTTTATTTAGAGGTAAACGTTTTAAAGCAAGCTGCTTTCAGTTTTGACGTTTATACGGCTCTTATGGTGACTATATTGTTTCGTTCGTCATTAATATCCTTCGAGACCTGCTGAGCCGCTGAGAAGTAAGAGTCAATTTACAATTAAATACAAAGACACTATGATCGCTTGGTTTAAAATGACATAGATGCACCAAACCTATGGCCTCAGGGTAAGCATACGAAATTGGAGAAATACTAAAAACATAGCTGTAGTTCTCAGATTCGAACTCAGATCTGACAAACTTATGTAAGTGCAAACGAAAAATGCTTTTGACAAGAACTCAGCTGCTATAACTAGCACTTTAATTGCTTTCATATTCTGAATAACACATCTGCGAAACAAAATTCTTAAAGTATAAGTCAGATAAACACAAGAGGAGAGTTCTGGCGTTACAAAATGTATTACGATCAGTAATGGCTACCTTTAACCATAGAGACCCGTGAACTCACTCGACTACAATTATTGGTAGCCAAAACAAATCAATTAAATCTGTTAAACACGAAATTAAGTATGTACCGTGAATAACTAAGCGTTGAGAGCACGTGAGACGAAATTTTTCGTTCATACCTTCTCCTTGCTAGTTTATCTTCCTGATGAGGTCTTATAAATTTGTTTACAGCTTCATGAATTTGTTTTCCAAATCCCGTAACGTAAATAACTCCGCCGACAGCGCAAAACACTGTTAAAACAGCCATGGCCTTTTTCAAAAAACAGCGGCATTTTCCAGCGCCACAATTGCTTGATTCGGTCATGAGAGAAACTATTAATCCTCAGAGGAAAGGAATTCGACCAAAAATCTCTCTTCCCGTTTTCTATAGATGCTTAAAATGGATCAATATTTAAACTGAAGAAGATGCGGTTCAATGACTTTGACTGCAAATGGAAGCCACCTGCGCTTATAAGCTAGGATTGTTTCAGGTGTTGGAACTTTTTGACACTTAAAACACCAAGTAGTTAGAAAGTTTGAAAAGAAAATAGTCAGTATTCCCTTATTAAACTACAAGATCGCGCACTGATAGAGAATATAAAACTCAATTTTTCTATGGTAAGTACAAACTACTGTATGCCCCACAAACGAAGTCATAAGCAACAGTCACCCCCCCTAGTGTTCATTTCCTTGAGTAATCAGAGATTAACCAAAAACGACCAGTCTGAAAGATCCCCGCATTTCGTTAAGGGTTGTATGTTATCTGATACTTCAACATTTTCTGAAATATAAGCCCTATCGACAAAACAAGCTCCATATACATCAATAAAAACCATTTAAATTAGGGGGATATTATATGCCGGTGCTGAGGGAGGCCGGGGATTTTTTTGAAGTAATGCGAGATCTTACTGGTTAGAGTAGCCTCCCACGCAGGTGTTTTTAGGGGAGCTTGTCTTTCATCCCTCCCCACAAACGCCTGCTCAACCTAAAACAACATTCCTTTCCCAAACTTAGCCAATCACTGTGTACTTTCCAAATTCTGGAAAGTTGACCTTGACCGCCGGGTTATCCGATAATTACACGATCTGCACGAAACACTAGGAAAGCTTTATGACCTCTAATAAATGTCAGACACAGAGCAGCAAAAGTTTAGTGCACTGTATAACCTTAGCCAAGGAACTGAAAAGAAGGAAAACGGTAACTCTAAGGTCACGTTTTAACACTACCACGAGCTTATGAGTCGTGTTTAGCCTGTCAACACTTAATTTCAAAACTGTTGATTGGTCACTTACCAGGCGAATAAAACAAAGGAAAGGAATGTTGTTTTCGGTTGAGCAGGCGTTTGTGGGGAGAGACAAAATACGGAGCTCCCCTAAAAATGCCTGCTTGGGAGGCTAGGGTGAGATCAGCGAATGAGTGTAATATTCTTAACGCGCAGAAAACAAAAATTATATTTCCAAGCGGTTATGAAAAATTTTGTTCGATAGATAAGAGCAGATAGTTCAAGAATCTGTGTTTCGTGGATCAATTTTATTCCATCAATTTCCGATGAAAATAGTGTTATTGCCATATGTGAAAATTGCACTTTTAAGAACTAAGGGGATAATTTGTATATATTCTGTGTAGGTTATTGTGAGTTGAAATTCATCACTTGTAAAAGACATTTAATCACAGGAAGCCCAGACACAGTGACAACATACTCCTGGCCTCGACGCAGTTATAAGGATTTGTAGGAGAATTTTTTCGTGAATCCGATAAAACAGTAAAAAATGCACATAAGTAGCCATTAAACTTTTAAGTGTACATGCCGTACCTCATAAAGGGATGCCTTTGTGGTGCGTTCACCGTGACTGTTTCCTCCCCAAGTTCAAGTTTTATGCTCAGTGCTTTATCCATTATTTTCCAGGATTAGTCCCTTCTTGAATAAAATCGAAATGAAAGAACAAAAAGTAGAAGGTTCACTTAAGCCTCGGGGTCCGGTTTGCTCTCTCAAAGTGAGAGATGGGTAAGTTTCAGACTGCGAGGAAGGCTCGATTTCCGGGTCCGCCGTTAATACCTGTTACAGGGGCAGCACCCATCACATCCGGTCTTTGATCCTCCCCTTTTGGGGCAGGGGGCTGGGGGATGAGTGTGGTTCATTTTCCCGTACGGTGGTTGGGTAATCGAGCCTAGATGAACCCTAAAAAAGCTTATGAGCTCCTGAAAAGGGGCCTGATCAAAACCGCCGATGCCTGCTGAGTGAGTGTTCACCACGCCAACGCACAAGGCAGTGGCAATTGCGGCATCAACCGCGTTACCGCCTTTCTCTTTTAAAATGTTAGCGCCGTCTTCTGAACACGTCTTGTAGTCTGCTGCAACAGCTGCGGTTTTGAACCTAAGAGGATCTGATGGTGCTCCTGCTGGCTCACTGCAAAGTGAAAAAAGACATGCATATAATTTAACTGTCGTTCTTCTATGGCTGATTATCTCTCGAGTATAAGGATTTTGATTTTTACAGCGTTGTTTGATACAGAATGTTTGCTAGCAAAGATCCAGTTTCAATATTTTGATAGGTAACGACAATAAAAAGTCCTGTCAAGATTTAAAGTTGGACCGCTAGAATCTATGCCTAGTCGTCAGAAATAATAGCACGCCCTTGAAGTCCTTGAGCTCTGATCAGTTTTCATAAGGATATGAGAAAATCCCGGCGCGAAATGCCACTTGAGTGAACTGATATTGTAATGGTTGTGGATAAATAGTCTTCCAACTAAAAATTTGGCTGTAGGACCGAAATCGTTATTCACTGGAGAATTACATTTACAATTACATTTAAGATTTAGGTCTGTCACTCAATTCTGAGCATTTTAGACCACTCTAAAAAAAAGGAAAAACACAAACACAAACAAAAGTTACTGAAATGGCGCTTAACAGGTCAGCATAGAAAACGTTCTGTCAAAATTCGAAATTGGACCCCTAGTCGATAGACTACGACAACTGAAAGCACTACATACGAAAATCGACCTCTTTCTTTCAATTAAGGCTTTTCGACTCTATACCGGCATTTGGAATTAGCAAAACCAGTAAGAAAGTTATTCATGTGGATGGGGTAAAATTCCAGGAAACACTTGGACTACGTATTGGTTAATTCCAAGTTTCAGTTTGGATATCCGAGCGTGATCGCAGCGGCAAATCACAACTTTTATTTCGAGCATTTTTAGTTTATTTAGAGGTAAACGTTTTAAAGCAAGCTGCTTTCAGTTTTGACGTTTATACGGCTCTTATGGTGACTATATTGTTTCGTTCGTCATTAATATCCTTCGAGACCTGCTGAGCCGCTGAGAAGTAAGAGTCAATTTACAATTAAATACAAAGACACTATGATCGCTTGGTTTAAAATGACATAGATGCACCAAACCTATGGCCTCAGGGTAAGCATACGAAATTGGAGAAATACTAAAAACATAGCTGTAGTTCTCAGATTCGAACTCAGATCTGACAAACTTATGTAAGTGCAAACGAAAAATGCTTTTGACAAGAACTCAGCTGCTATAACTAGCACTTTAATTGCTTTCATATTCTGAATAACACATCTGCGAAACAAAATTCTTAAAGTATAAGTCAGATAAACACAAGAGGAGAGTTCTGGCGTTACAAAATGTATTACGATCAGTAATGGCTACCTTTAACCATAGAGACCCGTGAACTCACTCGACTACAATTATTGGTAGCCAAAACAAATCAATTAAATCTGTTAAACACGAAATTAAGTATGTACCGTGAATAACTAAGCGTTGAGAGCACGTGAGACGAAATTTTTCGTTCATACCTTCTCCTTGCTAGTTTATCTTCCTGATGAGGTCTTATAAATTTGTTTACAGCTTCATGAATTTGTTTTCCAAATCCCGTAACGTAAATAACTCCGCCGACAGCGCAAAACACTGTTAAAACAGCCATGGCCTTTTTCAAAAAACAGCGGCATTTTCCAGCGCCACAATTGCTTGATTCGGTCATGAGAGAAACTATTAATCCTCAGAGGAAAGGAATTCGACCAAAAATCTCTCTTCCCGTTTTCTATAGATGCTTAAAATGGATCAATATTTAAACTGAAGAAGATGCGGTTCAATGACTTTGACTGCAAATGGAAGCCACCTGCGCTTATAAGCTAGGATTGTTTCAGGTGTTGGAACTTTTTGACACTTAAAACACCAAGTAGTTAGAAAGTTTGAAAAGAAAATAGTCAGTATTCCCTTATTAAACTACAAGATCGCGCACTGATAGAGAATATAAAACTCAATTTTTCTATGGTAAGTACAAACTACTGTATGCCCCACAAACGAAGTCATAAGCAACAGTCACCCCCCCTAGTGTTCATTTCCTTGAGTAATCAGAGATTAACCAAAAACGACCAGTCTGAAAGATCCCCGCATTTCGTTAAGGGTTGTATGTTATCTGATACTTCAACATTTTCTGAAATATAAGCCCTATCGACAAAACAAGCTCCATATACATCAATAAAAACCATTTAAATTAGGGGGATATTATATGCCGGTGCTGAGGGAGGCCGGGGATTTTTTTGAAGTAATGCGAGATCTTACTGGTTAGAGTAGCCTCCCACGCAGGTGTTTTTAGGGGAGCTTGTCTTTCATCCCTCCCCACAAACGCCTGCTCAACCTAAAACAACATTCCTTTCCCAAACTTAGCCAATCACTGTGTACTTTCCAAATTCTGGAAAGTTGACCTTGACCGCCGGGTTATCCGATAATTACACGATCTGCACGAAACACTAGGAAAGCTTTATGACCTCTAATAAATGTCAGACACAGAGCAGCAAAAGTTTAGTGCACTGTATAACCTTAGCCAAGGAACTGAAAAGAAGGAAAACGGTAACTCTAAGGTCACGTTTTAACACTACCACGAGCTTATGAGTCGTGTTTAGCCTGTCAACACTTAATTTCAAAACTGTTGATTGGTCACTTACCAGGCGAATAAAACAAAGGAAAGGAATGTTGTTTTCGGTTGAGCAGGCGTTTGTGGGGAGAGACAAAATACGGAGCTCCCCTAAAAATGCCTGCTTGGGAGGCTAGGGTGAGATCAGCGAATGAGTGTAATATTCTTAACGCGCAGAAAACAAAAATTATATTTCCAAGCGGTTATGAAAAATTTTGTTCGATAGATAAGAGCAGATAGTTCAAGAATCTGTGTTTCGTGGATCAATTTTATTCCATCAATTTCCGATGAAAATAGTGTTATTGCCATATGTGAAAATTGCACTTTTAAGAACTAAGGGGATAATTTGTATATATTCTGTGTAGGTTATTGTGAGTTGAAATTCATCACTTGTAAAAGACATTTAATCACAGGAAGCCCAGACACAGTGACAACATACTCCTGGCCTCGACGCAGTTATAAGGATTTGTAGGAGAATTTTTTCGTGAATCCGATAAAACAGTAAAAAATGCACATAAGTAGCCATTAAACTTTTAAGTGTACATGCCGTACCTCATAAAGGGATGCCTTTGTGGTGCGTTCACCGTGACTGTTTCCTCCCCAAGTTCAAGTTTTATGCTCAGTGCTTTATCCATTATTTTCCAGGATTAGTCCCTTCTTGAATAAAATCGAAATGAAAGAACAAAAAGTAGAAGGTTCACTTAAGCCTCGGGGTCCGGTTTGCTCTCTCAAAGTGAGAGATGGGTAAGTTTCAGACTGCGAGGAAGGCTCGATTTCCGGGTCCGCCGTTAATACCTGTTACAGGGGCAGCACCCATCACATCCGGTCTTTGATCCTCCCCTTTTGGGGCAGGGGGCTGGGGGATGAGTGTGGTTCATTTTCCCGTACGGTGGTTGGGTAATCGAGCCTAGATGAACCCTAAAAAAGCTTATGAGCTCCTGAAAAGGGGCCTGATCAAAGCCACATCCACAAGGGTGGAGGCCTGGGGGGTGGGGGGGGGGGGG